TATTGAAAACACAATGGCCTGGGTCAGGCGCACCCTAGTCCTCAAGCTGACTTAGACATTGGCTACTTAAAATGAGGGGGCAATAAAGGCACAAAATGACTGGCTTGCAAGGTTTCAAGAGGAAGCATAATTTAAGAGTGTGTGGGAAAAGATAGAGTTCCCATTGAATAGCTGTCATCTTGTCTAGATGGGTCTGGTAAAACGAGATGGGGATAAGATTCTTATGATTCAATAGTGAGTAATTGTTATCATGACTAATTGTGCATCACAATTGTAAAGGTAGAAGTTTTATGACAAAAATGGGGGTGTAGTTAATCTTATAGTCCAGAAACAGAGGACCTTAGGACCATCAGGGGGAAAGAGCAGAGGCAAAATGCAGCATATAATCCAGAGAAGCAGCGACACCAGCGATAGGGACATGGAGAGAGGGAGTAGCTGAGGACTCTAGATTCATGGAAAGAGAGGGACTGGGAGCTGGCAGCCAGGAGGCAGACTTGCAGAATGTGCCCTTTGCTGGCTTAAATTATTATATATACCTGAGTGTTTAAAAAAAAAGAGAGAGAGAGAGAGAGAGAGATACAATGAATAGAGAGAAATTGTGTTAACTGATGGTAAATGGAGCGGATTATAATCATTGTAATGAAACAACGTATATGATTTGTTGAATGTAAAACTGATGATCTGCCCTGTAAACTTTCACTCAATTCACAATAAAAACAAAATATATAAATCTTGAAACGTTGTTTTTGATGATGAATGCAACACCATTCCTCTTGAATTTGTTGTTTCCAGCATAACAAACCATATAATTGTTTGACTCATTAATGCCTAATGTGTAGAATTACGGACAGAACGCGCCTTAGAAACCAGTATGGCGAGACTTCATCTCTTGTACTTTGGACATGTGATAAGGAGGGACCAGTCCCTGGAGACAGGAAATGTAACAACAATTGTGAGGATGACACAGTATCTAACAACAACACCGTACTCGTATAACGATCTTTATGCATTCCATTTCATTTTTGATGACTTCCAATTTTTTCCTGGATTCATACTTTGTACATTCCATGTTCTGATTATTAATGGATGTTTGCAGCTGTTTCTTCCCATTTTGAGTTGTGTCCCATCAGCAAATGAAGGTCCCAGAAGCTCTGTTCCATTTACATCATTAAAATCAAATCTGCTTTGAGGAGGCAGCTCTGTCCCAGTCATATTTTGATTGCCTTCCAACCTGAAGGGCTCACCTTCCTGCCCTCTATCTGACAATGGTCTGCTGTTTCATAAGGTTTTCAGTGACTAAGCATTCAGAAGAGGTTGGCTTCTCCTTTCCCCTAGTCTGTCTTAGTCTGGAAGTTCTGCTGACACCTGTCCACCATGGGTGACCCTGTTGATATTAAAAATACTGGAGGCATAGCGTTCAGCATCGCAGCAACATGCAAGCCACCACAGTGTGACAAACTGACAGACGAGTGTTGGCTTTCTGTCTTAGGGTTCTGCAATTCACTGCCACCTCTCACATAACTCAAGAACCACAGAGGAAATGTCTCATGCAGGTATGGAGGCTGGTAAGTCCCATATCCACGTCTTAAGGTTTAGACTGGAGGCCTCTCCCAATCTATATGTTTGCAGGGCTTACCAGATGAAATTGCCCCACAAAGCTTTGGAAGCCAGTGACTTTGGTCAGACAACAGGATGCTGACTGGCTCAAGTTCCAAAAACCGGAAGTCAGACAAAGATGAGTCAGAGACAAGATGGAGAGCAAGAGAGAGAACCACTCCAGAGAATTCCTAGATATTGGATGCATCCTCATCCCAAAGGAAACCAAGAATGATGACTTGAATCTTATTCCCTAGTAAGGCAGGGACTCAAGATACATTGCACCCTACTACTGCCTCGTCATCATAAAGCGACCATCAACAGAGGCATAGTGACTAACATCACAAAGTGGAGAATTCTGGCTAGGAGAGCTCTATTAATGAGTTGACTGCCCAGTCTATTAAGTAATTCTCTGAGCTGCACTGAGGTTCAGATTGGTTCTTTGAACTAATTGTTTCCAAGCATCTTTGATTTTCTTTGCTCCAGAGAGACCAATAGTTGCATTGTATGTGTCTTTCTCTTATTCTCTCATCTTTCCTTCCAGGGAAGTTGAGAGCCTAGACTCCTAGTTCCTGGGAGGCTAAGAGTTCTCCACCAGCAAAGGAAGGGAAAGCTGGCCTCAGTTTTATCAGGAAATATTTCTCAGACATGAAGAGGAATGAAACACTGATACACTCTCCCACATGGATGAACCTTAAAATCATTCTGTTGTTCTTAAGCCCTGTTAAGTCAGTTCTGACTCATAGAGACCCTGTGCAGGGTTTTCTAGGAGCGACTGGTTAGTTTGAACCATTGACCTTAAAGTTGAAGCAGCCCAGTGCATTATCCTACAGTGCCACACCAGGACTCCTAAAACCTCATGTTGTTGTTAAGTGCCGTTGAGTCGGTTCCGACCTATAGCGACCCTGTACAGGGTTTCCAAGGCTGTAAATCTTCATGGGAGCAGAAAGCCTCATCTTTCTCCCATGGAGCGGCTGGTAGTTTCGAACTGCTGACCTTAAGGTTCGCAGCCCAATTTGTCACCACTATGCTACCAGAGCTCCTTATAGCCAGACACAAAATGCCACATCCTGTGCTACACCACAGATGTAAAATACTCAGAAAAGGTTAAAAGCGGATTAACGGTTGGGTCGGTTCGGTTGGGTCGGAACCGACTCACTCGACGGCACGTAACAACAACAACAAGGGCTGGGGGAGGGGAAACGGAGAGCTATTGCTTCATGGATACAGGGTTTCCTTTGGGGGGTTGATGGAAAGTTCTGGAACTAGATAGAAGTGGTGGTTGCACAACCTTGTGAAAGTATAAAAACCACTGAATTGTGTATTTCAAATACTGCATTGTATACTTTAAAACACTGGATTACATCATTGAAAAGAGTTAGTTTTGTTATGAGACTTTTCCCTTAAGAAAAAGACCAAAAAAGTAAGACTGGAGAGAAAGGAGGCAGTTGGGAGCCAGACTTGTGAGTCTGAGGGAGAAGGGGGCTGGGAGATCAACTCCTGGCTTGAGGGAGGAGGCGGCTCAGGGGCAGGATTCTTGGGTCAGAGGGAGGAGGGGCTGGGTCTGAGGGAGGAAGAACTAGAAGCTAGAACTCTTGGGTCCTGGGGTCAAGTGAAAAGGCAGGATTCCAACATCTGGGCATTACTAGAGGTGGATCCAGAAAGGTAAGCGTTGCCACGTGGGACAGAGAAGAGGGATGACCAGGGCACCAAGAAGCAAGAGGGGGGGGGCGGATGTTTGGATGGGGATGTCATCACCAAGAACTTCCTTCCCACCCTCACCCTGCCTGTAGGGGAACTCCAGATCCATTTCAGAGGAGAGATATCCTCGGAAGGTAAGAGAAGGGGACAAGAGAATACCACCTTAACTCCCACACCCAAGATCCTCAAACCAGAAACTGCCTCTTCAAAGGAAGGAGACAGATCTGGGTTCTATGGTTCTAAAGAGGTAAGATCTAGGAAGCTGGACCCCAAAGAGTAGGAATGCACATATTCAAAAGAGACTAGGGGTTTGGATTTCTGGGTCTTAAGAAAGGAGAGTTCTGGGGGCCTGGACATCTGGGATAAGGGGAATTGGAGGCCAGGAGCCTACATTCCTGAATTCCAAGAAATGAGAAGTTGGAGACTCAAGACTCCTGGTTTCCAAGGGAAGACAGTTGGAGCGACCTGGAGGCCAGCATTCGGGGTGGGGGTAACGGAATAGAGCTGGGAGTTTAGACGTTAACCCCACAAAACTGAAGGAAGTCAGTTCCCACCATTAATCTCCAGGTGGTGGCAGCTAGGTCCCTAGGAGAGAGGAGAGAGGAAGTCATGGTTTGGGGTTGAGGTCTTGAAAAAGTGACCAGCAGAAGGCAGGGTAAACTGTCTCCTGGGGAGGTCAGCGGCCGGCTTGGCACAGCCCCACTTCCCACCCCAACCTATTTATCCCAGAACTTCTCAGTCAGTCCTCTTCTAGGACAGGCCAGAGGCTGGGAGAGCCTCAGAGAATCAGGTGGACCAGGAACTGGGAGGAAGGAGAGCCAGGAAGAGCAAGTGTGGGGAGGGCAGTGAAGGAAACTTCCTCCAGAGACAGTGAAGGATGGGGAAGTTGGGACAGTAAGGCAAAGCTAGAAGCTGGGTGTTAGGGTTGAAGATCAGCAAAGGTCAAGTGTCTGCGGTTGAAAGCTGGATGGGAATAGACCCCACCTCTGAAGTGAGTGACATGCCCAGGGCACAGAACCCTGAGTGCTGTCCAGTTCTGAGTGGTCCCAGGGTCTGTGGGCCACACTGCAGCCCCTCCCCTTCCCCACAGAGCCCAGATGTGGGGCTACCTGTCTCTTCTGCCTGTCTTCCTGGCATTCTGGGCTGTCACCGGCATCTGGACTGTGTGAGTGTCTGTGACAGCATGGGGGTTGGGTCTGAGGGAAAACTGGGGGTCAGGACTCCTGGGTCTGAGGGAGGAGGGGGCTGGGGGTCAGGACTCCTGGGTCTGAGGGAGGAGGGCTGGGGGTCAGGACTCCTGGGTCTGAGGGAGGAGGGG